AATTATTTTAACGAATCTTCATCTTCATCTACTTACAATGGCGTAACCAAGATCTATACCTTTGCCCTGAATATGGATGGGATATCTTTCTTGTCGACCACTACTAACCTGACAAACGAGTTCTTTCTCCCAACCTTGGGTATTCGCCCTATAAAGCTGGACCGTTCTTTCGCCTTCACATGTTATCCTTTCGATCTGGTGCTGATACCAGCCGGCATCTGTACATGACTGTGCCGTGCCCGGATTACTTCATAGCACTTTCAAAGCCACGTTTGTCAGCACAGCTTGCAACTCTCCCGCATCCAGCACTCCAAAGATAATTCGGTTCCGAGACACATCAGCAAATAGTTTAAGTATATTTAGTCGTTTGGCTGACGGCGTAGCCTTTTCAACTGTTCTTGTTGTTGTTGTTGTTGTTGTAGCAACAGAAAATATTCCTGAAGTAATTTCGAGGCATGGTGCCCAGTTGACAGTCCTTGGTCGCATAAATATCCGGGTCCGTTCCAGTAACTTAGATCCGACTGTCGGGGGGACGGTAGTATCTTCAACTGACCTCTGTCGATTGACTGCCACTGCTGTCGGTTCAAGTTTAGCTAGTTAGGCAAGACTGCTTTCTCGATATCATTGGATTATTGAAGCTCCTTCGTCAACCCCTCATTGATTGCCGGTTGCAGCTGCATCCTTCTCAGCACGTCGCTTCTTCGCATATCTTGCCTTTCGACTTTAAAACTAGGCCGCCCTCTATCCGACGCTCTACTAGCAGCGAAACCCTTCCCTGATAAGCAGCCATACTGTGCCGCGTGTGTTGTTGCCTTCCGGGAGGTAATCTTAGCTTTAACATCCTTTCTAGTACCAGCCTTTACACGCAGACCAAGCTCCACTCCTAGCTTTGTGATGTCTGCTTTCGAGCTCGTTACTAACGCTGCCCTCTTTTCGAGACTAGTTTCTTCCGCTTTTTAATAAGATTTTCGGACTCTTTGTTTCTCTTGTTTTATACTGGTTCATGTTTTGGACCCAGGTGTGTAGGGGAAAGTCCTCGTTACGCTAGTAACGCTCGTTTATTACGGAGAGCGGCAGATATCTAGCCTTTATCGGGATACTATTACCAGTAAATAACTAAAAATTAATGAAAAATAAATTGGTAACAGAAATAGTCACCCTGTATGCTCTTATGTTATTGTAAAATACCAAAAAATTGTTTACTTTCTCAGCACGATTTTATTTTAATTTTATCTATACGTTTTTCAAAACTGAAAGTAATGGCGCCAATAACAATTGTTTTATAAAATCGTGATTTATTGTATCCCAGAAACGACAATAACAAAACGCTCAAAGCCGCATTCCTGTCAATTTTAAGTGAGATTAACGAATATCTAATGAATTAATAGACTAAAGGTATTTTGTATGTAAATATATGTATATACTCGTTTTACACGCGCCACACAAACTAATATGTTAATGAGCTCTGTACAGTAACAATAGCAACCACTCGAAAGCCATTAGCAAGTGTTTACCCACACAATTCGCGCTCCAGGTGAACTGAAGTCACTCGATGATCTCAATTATTGACTAACTATCGTTGAATGGCAGCAGCAAAACTACGTTGTAACTGCTCTTTACTATTTTTTATACACATTTACAATTAGTGCTTTAATTTCGCTGTACCTCTTTCCTCTTTCTCGTTAGTCTTGCCCTACTCCAACTACCTGTTTGTACAATTATAGCTTTATTTAAATACATACCCGACGCCTCCTTTCTCCCCACGCGGTAGTTATGATTGTTGTGCGACAACAACAAAACGAATGCAGTAATAATATCGCCTCAAGTGAACCACAGTTTGCTTTCAGCAGCTGTGCGCGCTGCTAGACAAGATCAAGGTGAATCTTAATAACACATTACGTATACGCAACGTCGCACAACGACTCGTCAAGTCATTGAAAATCATCACAGTTAACGACGCCGAGTGCGCTGCTGCTATATTATACGAGTATATCGCGTTACCCGCTGGCTATTGAATGCATGAATGAGTGGCTGAATGGCTGAAGGCTTGAAATACCCGTACTGTAGCTTTTGAAGCTAACAAAAAGGTTAAATGTGTGTATGTGCTTTCATTTGTTAGTGTGTGTGTGCGTGCTTCAGCGCATCGGCTAAATTACAGTTTCCAATTGATTGGTGGCGTTTCGCTGCTAGGTCTGTAATCGAGACAAATTGTGCAACATGGTTGCCGTATGTATGTGAATTGCGTAGTAAAATTGAGTTATAAAAAGTCAAATACCGGGGAAAAATAAAAAAAAAAAAATAATAAAAAGTAAACAGGAATATAAACATTGTAATAATAATTTGCTTGGCATCTAGTTGAAGCGTTTATTCAATTATGAAGTATGTGAATACATCCAGGTATTTGCCTGAATGCTAATGTCAACCGCTGGTGTGGCGCAAGTCGTTTTGGCGACTGTTGCGCTTGCGCATGACGTCGTCTAACAGGCATTTCAGCGTTCGGGACAAGCCTTTTGTTGTTGTTTGTTTAGCATTTACGTGACTTTTGTTTATTTTCATTGATTTATTGTTGTGCTGTTTTCCATAAATTTAAAAATCAAGGAATTACGTAAATTTTTGCATTACTTTTTAATTACTTTAGTCAGTTAATTATTGCTTTTGGCACTTTTTAGCTTGGTTTTTGCATGTAATGTGGTTATATTTTTTTATCACTGATGTATTATATTACGCTTTGTTATGCAAAAATACAAGTTTTTTTCCTTTTGTTTTCGAAATAAATTGATTAATTTCCTTATAATTTTTTTATTAATTGAATTTAAAAAACGAAATTAAAAAATTTGCAATTTAAATAAAATATTTTTTTAACCATTTTACGTACATATATAAATATACAATTGAAATAAAACTTAAAAAAAAAAAA